TATCCACTAAACTGCGAAGAGACTTATTAAAATTCTTTCGAATAAATTTTCTTCGTTTCTTGTGAATGATATAAGGATTGCTCTTTCAACCTCGTTTCCAACCACCTCCAGGAATAAACTGACGGGAGAAGGACTCGTGAAGGGGAACATTGGAATCGGTAGTGAAACAAAAAGCGTCCGTTTGCCTGGTAAAAATATCGTGGCCATCCGGCGAAAACCGGGCGAAGAATGGCGAAGAAACGATCGGTGGAACCGTTTACAGCTTAGAAACATCCCCCTCGATTCCTTAGTTTAAATTCACACAGGGCAACAAGGTTTGCTTTCGTTGAGGAAGCAAAGAGATTTACCCTGTGCCTCTCTTTGGCCGAGCAAAGAGGAAATCGTGGGTGAGCGAGTAGCTGCTGCTAGACTCGAGGGTAGTTAGGGGGATGGATGGTTTGGCTTTCGAGTTTGACGAAGCTTTTGGATCCGCCTGCGCGATGGATAAGTCTGTGAAGCGTGTCAAGGTTGTGCTCGTTCGAGGATACGTGATTTCGAGACTTAACGACAGATGGCGCGAAACGTTGGAGAGGATAACCTCCAAATTGGTCAAAATATGGCATCGAAGTACATACTCTTCGTGACGAAACTTACATTCGGTATCTTTACGGATCGAATCTCGTGACTTTTCGTTTAAATATTGGAAGTTTGTATTCAGTTTTATAGTATACATTGGTTATATTTCAAATTCGACAGATTTCAAAAAAGAATTCGAGTTCGATTTCATTTGTATGGAAATAAATACGATAGGAAGAGAAGTTTTTCCGTGCACGCGTTTTATTATTAAAAATTAAAAATTCTACGATTAATCGTTAGTGCGACGACAAAAGACTGGATTGCTTCTCGTTGATATCGATGTTCATTTTCTCGACTCGAAGCGAAATATAGTTTTAATTACGGGGAACGAGAAAAATCTTTGCGCTAATAAAATTCTTATTAACCGGCTACCACCACCGTTGCCATCCGTACCGATATTATCATCCATTATCAGACGAGAAAAAGAACGAAGGGAAACCGATAAACTAATAATATTATCCGGGAAAATAATACCAGCGGGAATAAAATATGAGAAAAATTAGCTTTCCGCTGACGAGACTCGATATTAGGAAGGATATCGAATGAATAAATGCAAGAAGATGATGCAACGAAATGACAGAATCGTGACAGAAGAATATATTCAAATTAGAAGGAAGATTCCGACAAGAAACGTTGAAAGTGTACATTCGAAAGGAAAAATATTTGTGGAATGACGCGTATCTATCCACAAATTTTAGTTCCTTTCCAACGAGTGATCGATTTTTCCTCCCTACAACGAAGCAACGATCTCTATCGGCAATTCTAAACTGAAGAAAGGAGGGACGAAACGGCGGCGCTCGATCGACAAAACGACAGGGGTTGGTAATTAACTAGCGGAGGTTATATAATGAAGTTCGCCTTCCTCGAACGACGATCGATTTCATTAATTATGCGAAATGCCGAGGGTTGCTCTGGTTACAGGTTCGCGTTGAAAGCCTCTCGTCCAAGTGGTGGAAGCTGGTAAGACGGAGGAGAGAGAGAGAGAGAGAGAGAGTAGAGGTGAAAGTAAAAGGGGGAAGCAGGTGAGAAAGGAGGAGACGAGAAGGCGCGGGAATAAAGAAACTCGGCCGATTCGGGAAATGAAAAGAACCCCTAATTAACTTATTCGATCAGACCGCGTTAATTAATGCATGCACGGCCGATGCAATTCAATTATACGGTGAGATCGACCGATCGGACGAATTGTGCGCTCGATTATGCGACAGAATCGCTCCTTCGTTTCTCGATTGTTATCTCGAGTTTGCACATTGTGTACACAGTTGATGGTGGGGGTTAAAAAAATTATTAGGGTGATTTTTCGCGAAAAGAAATTGGGATAATAGTGGAGTAAAAAAGAAGGAGGGAAAGAGGAAGGAAAAGAGATAGAATCAATATTAGAGATAGAGTAGATCTTGATGCTTTCTTTTTTTGAATATGTCAAAGTCATCGAGTTGTGTTCGTTAAGAAGTTAATAAGAATTATTAATATAATTTATTGAATGAATTTTTGTTTAATTTCTGGTTTCATAGTTTATACTGGGTTCGAAGTTAGCTTAATAATTTTTTGACAACACGTTAAAAAATCGAAGGATATTCTTCGAATGTCTTGTATAACTTCTTCTTTGCATAACAACTCACATTAAAATTTATCTAATTATTGGTTTTCCTTTTTCTAAATATTCTTATCGTTATATTTGCTTTGCATTGAACGGTATTTTTGCGAAGATCATCTTCGAGAAACGTTTGGAAATTGTGGAACGGCTTTCAGAGGTGGCGTCGCGTTACTTTTGCTGAATAAGTTCTGACACGGTTCACTTTTCTTTTTTTCGAGTTTATCCTCGAAAGGAGGAAGCCGTTTTCGGTGATGATTCGCCGAATCAAAATTTTCTCGAATTCTCGGTTACATTGGTTGGAATGAATATCGAATCGATAATTGCACGGTGACTCTTTCGCGATGGAATGCGTATTGTTTTGTTATTTTATGCAAATGCGAATATTGAAATATCGGACGATTGCATCAACGAGTTTCCTCGAGAGTTTTCCGATGGCCGTGTAATAATCAGAGTTTCTGAATTACATTGATTTCATAGGCTGAGAATGTAAAGTTGGGGGTCAAGGTTGAAAGTTTCTTTTACTTAAATAGGACGTGTTTCGAGACCTTCGAAATTTAATTCGAACGAAATTTATATTGGAAGGAAGAATTGCTAAGAAAATCTAAATATAAGTATAATTTCGTCGTGATCGGCGGGCTAACATTTTTTAATTTTAATCAAAATTTTCGAAATCGAAAGCGATTTAATCGTTGCTCGATAAACTTTTATCTCGCCGTATTTCATTCGAGAATAATTTATCTCTCTCTCTTCAATTAAGAAAGTAAACGAAGACACTCTCGATCGAATTCTTTGTCACGTCTCAGGGATTGCTAACGAGAATCTTAAAATTCTCTCGCCACAAAATTAAAAGGACGAGGATGTATGGCCGGTAAGCCGAGAGCGTCGATAATCAAAGTTTCGCGTTACATTTTCTTGGGAGGGAATCCTCGACGGTTTCTCGAATCCATCCATCGTGAATCCCTCTCTCTACGCCGTCGGAAAAATACGATTAGCTCGTTCGTAAGCAACGAATTATTCTTATTATTCATCGTCTGTCGTGAAAGATCGTCAATATCGTTAATATTTTCGCGTTGGATATTGCGCCACTTAATAACCTCGACTTAACGATCCTCGCCGTTGTAAATCAACAACATTAATACCGGCAACAAACGCGATGCTGTCGCCTTTAAAGCCTCGTCGGGAATCGTTGGAACGATTATAAATAATTCCTTTGCATTAAATATCTTTCCGGTGGAAAACGATGACGTACGTCGATCGTTGGAAATTTCTGCCACTACGGATGGCAGAATTAACGTGTTTCATAACAAATACGAACGAATTTCTGATTTTCCATAAGTGGAGATCGAAAATGCCTTGTGAAAAGATAGATTTGTAGATTTGTACATCGATTGTTGGAAATTTCTGCCTCTATAGTACATATTAACGTATATTATTTGAAACAAAAATCGAATCTTTGATTTTCCATAAGTAAAAAAATGCAACAAAATCAAAAATGGTTGTATTTACTTATAAAGTTGAAAAGATAGTACGTAGATGTACATCGATTGTTGGAAATTTTGTTTCTGCAGGATATTAACATATTCGAGACAAAATAAAAAATCGAATTTTTCATTTTCCCATTTTCCATGAGTAAAAAAATACAACGAACATATTTCGGACAAATATCGAATTTCTGATTTTCCAATAAGTAGAGATCGAAATAGCTTGTGAAAAGATAGATTTGTAGACGTATATCGATTGTTGGAAATTTCTGCTTCTATATATCATTTGAACAAAAATCGAATTTTCCGTGAGTAAAAAAATACAAGGAAAATATTTCGGACAAATATCGAATTTCTGATTTTCCATAAGTGAAGATCGAAAATGGCTGTACTTGTAAAGTTGAAGCGCGTGGAAGAAATGCAAAAGCATATGAAAAAAATTGTTTCGCTTTGTTACTTGAAAAAGTTCACGACGCGATTGTACGCGTCAACTGCCTTAGGATAGGAAATCTCCATGACGCATATGTTGCGTTACCGGTTTTTGTGTTGATTTATTTGTAAAATATGTTTTTGGAAAGAATCGATTCCGAAAAGGGAAAAGTTGGTGCACAAAAATGTCCGATTGAAGATTATTTATTAAGTCAAAAGAATTGAAGTTTGCGTTAGAGAAAGGGAACCAGATCACCCTTACGCTGCCATCATCTCGCGTTTAAACATAAATTATTTATAACTTAAACATAATTAAATGTTAATTATTCGATGTTTTTGTAAATCAAATTTTGTTTCGATCTCTGGGAATCGATTCATTCAATATACGTTTCATAAAGATAAATTTAAATTATTAACCGGTTATAATTGTTGATGAAACGAGATTATTTTCCGCGATTATACGCCGAATGGAGGACGACTATCGGAACATTAGGATATTCCTTTGGAAAAAAGGACACTCCGTTTGAAGTTCCATTCCGAAATTTTGTCTCGCTTCCTATTTTTCACGATACGATGGAAAACCGCTTAGACCGTGTCATCCTTACGTAGCAATACTATCGCATAAGAGGATTAGTCGCTGGCGAGCTGTTCGCGTAGCTTGCATTTGCTTGGAAACAAACGGCAGTATCGTCGATCGAACAACGTGGAGCGATCGCGAGTTTTCGAAATTCCCTCGATGTAATCCAGATTAAACGTCGTTGGAAAGACAGAGGCTTCTCCTCTGATCCCCGAGCACACTTTCGCGAGCACAAAAATACTTGAGAGATGAGAATCGTGTGGAATCATTAATGAAAATTAACCAAAACTTGTTCCATTGTTTCCAGAATCCAGTGGCGACAGCGTTCGAGATCTTCTGGATGATATTCGAGCCGATCCTGTTCGGCGTGACGGGCGCCCAGATCAAGATCGACGAATTGGAGGGGAAGACGGTGTATCTGGGCGTGAGCTGCCTTCTCGCCGGCATAGTGATCCGCGTGGTGGCCACCATCCTGGTCGGCGTAGGTTCCAACTTGAACCTCAAGGAGAAAATATTCATCGCCCTTTCCTGGATGGCGAAGGCCACCGTCCAAGCCGCCCTCGCGCCCACAGCCCTCGACAAGGTCGACCCCAACGACCCTTTGCAGGTGTACTACGCCGAGACTGTGATGACCATATGCGTCCTCTCCATCTTGCTCACCGCCCCAGCCGGCGCCATCATGATCACCCTCTCCGGGCCGAAGCTTCTCACCAAAACCACGGCGCCTGTCGCGCCGCCCGAGGGCTGGAAGGCGCGCAGACCCTCGATTCGAGACATTTCCATCATCAACGAGGACCCAGACCTCGAGGAGACCGCGAACGAGAGGAAGCCTTGAGGCGGTTTCCGCCTAGGAGAACCGCCTCTCCTCCCTTCCTCGAAGGGGGATGCGAATCGAAGTAACGAACGAGAATTCAACCGAGGATTTCCGCGTCGTTCGTGTTTTATCCGATTTGTATATATCCCGATATATCCGTCGATTTATGGATACTCTCCTAGGAGGAGGAGGGGGGGAGTGGATCCGCACTCCCTCGACGAGAGGACGGCGTGTGTGCGTGAGTCGCGTGTGCCTGGGGATCGAAACAACGTGTGAATTCGTGAAGATTTCGTTCGAGACAGGAATTTCTTCGAGTGGGAGAAATGCTAGGTCGAATTCTGATTCGTTCCTTGATAATTTGGAGGGGGAGAGTGAAGTTCTTAGGGTAGTTTTTTTTCTTTTTTTTTTTTATAGTGCCTGGAGGGACAATTTGGTCGAGGAACAAGAATCGACAAAGGTTGCTGCGTTACGTATATATATATATATAGATAGAATATCGGAACAAATGACGCGAGCCATTTCGAAAATTTTATCATTCTGTGACAATAATTATTAATCGTTTTTCTTTTTTTGAATATTTTAACGATCGAACAACTTTCTTTTCGAAACATTTCAATTCTCGTAATTCTACGTTAGCGTAGTTCAATTTTTTTTTTTTTTTACTTGACGTAGAATTACGCGCTCATCGGTCAGAGAGAGGATCGCGAGATCGATACGTGTTCTCGTACGAAGCGGCTGCTTTAATGTCTTAATAACGTTCCAGAGTGGTGACTTACGCGTGGAAACCTCGAGAAGTAATTGAACAATTTATCGGTGCGCTTCGTTTTCGAGATGAGAAAGCTTGCCCCGGCCAGAGGAGATTTCGAGAGACGGCTCGTTTTACTCTGCCTCTACGATTGCACAACACGATTCGAAATGGTTCGAAACCGGATGAAATATATATCTGTCTTACGTCGTTTCTCGAGCGATTCGAAGAAGAAGTTAGATCTGGTTAAAAGTTTATTTTCTTTCTTTCTTTCTTTCTTTTTTTTTTTTTTTAATTCTTTGTCACAACAACGTTATTTCCGACGTTGAGAGAATTGTATCTTGCGTCGCATAATTTTGACGAGATGATTCATCTTCTTAATATACGTACGATCGACGAATATCGAAATTATATATATATATGTGTGTGTGTGAGTGTGCGCGCGCGCGTATAAAGAAGTATGTAAGAGAATTAAATAAAGACTGTCATGATTCGACAAGTTCGATCATCGATGAAGTTTCTCGACGTTCAAGAATTTTGTTGTTCGATCGTTTCATGGGGAAAAGGAAAAGATTGAATGTTCGTGAGATAATTTTGTAGAATAATTGTTATTAGTCCCAATTTGTTGATAAAGATACGATTTATAATAATAAAAAATTCATATTCGTGGTAGAAGTTGATAGAAACTTTCTTCTTTTTTTTTTTTTTTTTTTTTCGTTTTTGAATTTTTTTGAAGATTCCTTCGCTGTAAACAAATGTGCCTTCTCTCGTGAGATGATAATAACGATGCATCCATATCCACGCGTGAAATTTTACGAGATTAAAATTAAAATTCTTGGAAAAAGGGAACAAGTTCGATTTTTAACTTAAGGTAAACCGAATGTTGTTTCTGGGAAGGGAGGAGAAGAAACTCTCGTCTCAAAGAAGATTTAAATTAGATTTAGATGCAAAATATTTACTCAACGCGAAAGTGAAAGTTTAAAATAAAAAAAAAAAAGTCACGCGTACATACGTAAAATTTTGTAAAATTATTCTAATTATTCGTTCATTCGTAAATTTACACAGACGCGTTTGACGAGTTGTTGTGCCGCGTGAGCACGTGTCCCGCGTGTCTATTTGTATACGTGCCCGTACAATTAACCTTGAATACGAGAGCGAGTGCAGTAGAGTCGGCAAATTGATTAATCGATCGGTTCAAACTTGAAGTAAACTGTATTTGCGCGTAAATTAATCGATTAATTAATTAGCTCGAGAACACTTCGGGATTAATTTGCTTGGGAGGGAAGTGGATGACTGCGAGAGTTAAAATTTCACCGTTACTGGTGCTCTGAATTCTGTTCGTTATTATGTTGGTATTAAAGACAATCACTGTAGCTGTCAATCTTTCTATTCTCTTTATTATTCACTTCTTCTCTTGCCATCCATCTTCGTGCGGTTAATTACAATTTCTCGATTTTTTTTTTTTTGAAAAAGCTTCGAATATTTTGAATTATTATTATTATTATTATTGTTGTTGTTGTTGTTGTTTCATGTAAATTTCTTCTGCGGATCTGCACCATCGTCTCTTCTCAATTTTAAAAGGTATTTTTTATTTATTATTTATTTCGAAATTCGCTCTTTCACAAATTTTTTTCTTTTCTCCCTTTTCTCGATGATGATTAAAAATGTAAAAAGGTAAGAAAGATATCCAATCGGACTTTTTCCTTCGTTTCACTCTCGTTATATGATATACGAATGTTTGATGGATATAGATGGAAACACGGTTGTGCATCGATCACGGCGGTGGGGGAAGAGGAAGCCGCAAAGAGGCAGGAAAATTAGTGAGGGGAAAATCGACTTTTCGAATCTCGAGGAATCCTCGAGGCGGAAACTGGGCCGGAAATCATCGGTTGCGCGAAAGAACGAAGGTAATAAAGTAGAACGATCAAACTGGATCGAATAAAGATCGAAAAAAATTACATTCGATTGGAATAAAATATTGGCGCTAATTGCTCGCTTTAACTCCTCAAACTGTTTAAACAATTCGTAAACGAGTGAAAAAAAAATGAGTTCGAACGAATTCAAAAATTCAAAATTTTCCATATTTCCGTATTTACTGTTGGAAAAAATTTGAACGAGCGTTGCTCGCGCTTTGCAGCCAACAATCGTTCCCTTTATTTATGATAAATTTTTATCCGGTATTTCATTATCTTAATTATAGGAGAGTGGAGCCGAGTTGAAAAACGATTAATCAAGAGGAATTTATCGGGAATGGAAGTGGTCGATATCTGAATGGCCATTCACCAAGGATTTATCAATGGCAAACAGGTACGAAGAACACAGTGGCGATTTCCAATTTTAGTTCTCGGATCGAGAGAGTGTCAATATTTGGTCGAAGAAAGATCGATTTGTAATAATGCATTAAATCTTGGCTAATGTTTATTAATTCCTCCCAGAAGAGAGCCATCTCCAATATCAATTCTCCAATATCAATATTTATTTTCGCTTCTTGCCAATTAAGGGGCAATGACAATTGTGCCCACACAATTTTCTTTCTTGGAACTCGGACGATTTCAAGGATAAACGTAGTATGGATGAAGTTAGACGAAGTCATATTTAAAAATGATGCTTAAAATCTTCTTCCCTTTTTCTTTTCTTTTTTAATTTTCACTTGACAAATACTCGTATTCGTCATCGATTTAATTATAATCGTCACAATTGAAACGATAAACAGATTTTTTTTTTTTTTTACCATTGTATCAAAAACCAGAAGAAATTACACAGATTATCTTCTTGATCAGGACTCCTTCAGGATGATGGGATGACGGTGTCCTACCTAATTTCGAGTAATTAAAACTTTTTTCCTTTTTTTTTTTTTTAGCTTGTATCGATAATGAGAAATATAACAATGGAGATGACGTGTTGGATTAAATTTGCGGTCAAATTTGAATATCAAAAGAAGATAATTAACGGATTATACCGGGTGTATTTTAATTGAACGAATGAATAATTAAATAATAATCGTTATATATCTAATTAATTATTAGAGTATCGAAATTTTCGGATAATTCCTAATTTCATCGCGTATTATTTCTTAATGCTTTTTATTTGACGCCTTGTCAAAAAAAAAAAAAAAGAAAAAATCTAAATCGCGGTTAAGACGGTGCTCCACGATTGACCCGGTTTTTAGATCCATGTCTTAACTTTTCTCTCATAAAGCCAGCCTTAAAATAAGTTCTCGTACACCGCGAAAGCCCTTACTTATAAAAACGCACGTAGGCAAGGAAAATTTTGTATCTTCAGAGGAGGGGGGAGGGAAGGGAAACTATAACAGGAAATTCTGAAAAAGCCATGGAGATTGCATCAATATTGAACGTGAAATGAAATTCCTCCCTATATATTTAAAACTGCACGACACACTTGGTATCACGCTTACGTAATTCTTCCTGTCAAATATTTTTCGAAATATTAAAAAGAAATTCAGAAATTCCATCCCTCTACGTTCTGAAATAATTTTTATTTTTAATATCTAAGATCCGAAATAACAGTCACGTGAAAAATGACGAACGCGAGCACACCTTTTAATCCAATTAACTCGACTCGACTATTAAAATCTACGTAATAATTTTTTATGCCAAACCCTAAGGGGATATCGCGACATGCCTATATTTCATTTTTCCCTGTTAAACACTTCTGCACCTTGCACGCATCTCGCGTAATATATCCAAACAATCCTTTTCATCTCGCGCGTAAAAAAGTATCTCGTAAACTCGTCGTAAAAAAAACCACTTGGCGCAATCAAGATACACGTTTACGTTCGATATACGTTTACGTACAATCTAACCAAAATACACGAAACAAGAAATTAGATATCGTCCAAACATTCTTCCGAGCTGAATACACTTGCAAACATCCGCGCGCTCATCCTCGAAAAAAGTAAAATAAACTCGTCCAAAAAAAAAAAAAGAGAGAGAGAGAAAAATCGTTCGTGGAAAATTCGGGAAAATGCGAGAATTCGACGCGTTTCCAGGTAATTGTCCCTCGGCCGGCCGTTTCACAGGAAAGTGTCGCGTGATTATTTTCCTTTGCCGTGGAAATAATCGACGGAGCCTCGTGGTTTCCTCGAAACCGGGGCGAAGGGTGTAAACCTTTCGGGAAAAAGCCGTTTATCGTGCGTGATTTAAGGCCGGTTTAGAAAAAAAAAAAAAAAGAAACCCCAGCCAGCATTTCTCCGCCGCCGGTATATCCGCTTTTGTTAAAAAGCTAAAAACTAAAAGAGACGCCTCTTTTCGATTTTCTCTTCGATTGTATAACATCGGTATAATCGAGAATTGACACGAAGTGGAGATGACGATCAATCTTTTGAAATAATAGCAAGAGATGATAAAGGAGATAAAAAGAAAATGTAGTGTGATAAAGATAACTATAGGAATATTTGTAGAAAAAAGTTATATTAATGATATTTGAATAATTTTAATAGATGGGAGGGAGGGAGTAAAGACAAGAAGGTTTTATTTTTCTTCTTTTTATTATTATTATTATTTATATTGACAAATTTTTACACAGATATAAATATTTAAGCTCGGGTAACAATACGTAATAATTTGTTCGATTATAAGTTTATCGTATGCAAGGAAATAGCAACTTTGCCGTATAACGATAAGCTAAATGAGATTTTCTATCCGAGTGTGGAAAATTATAAACATCGTTTTATATATAAAACTTATGCGATAATTTTATACAAATATATATATATATATATATAAAATAAACGATTGATAATATTGATAAATTAAAAAAAAGTAAATGTACAATAGGCTTTTCATTCCCTGAGGTTTCGATCGGAAAATAGAGAAAAAGCTTTCTTCCCGGCTCCTCCTTTTGTACTCTCGATTTTCTACGAAAAGAAAAAAGAAAAGAAAAGCGAAAGATCCTAACGTCAACTAACGTGGCAGTAAAATAGTAAAATTTTCGAGAGTGTTTGCGTAGAAAGAAAGCGATCCTAAAGTGAATCAAGATTAAAGAAAGTTCAAATTAAATCTAAAAAAAAAAAAAAAGGATAAAACTTGATATGGAAATTAAAAAGGGAAAATTGCACGCACACCTTCTTTGGCATTTGGAAAATTTCAAAAAAAGTACGACACCTATGTGACTAGACTGTAAATATTTGTATATCTATCTAAAATAATATCTCCATCCTTTTCAACGGATTCTGAAATAACAAATTTACATAAACATTCACAGTGTATACGTGTATATCAGTATATAAAAATGGCTCTGTGTAAAAAGAAAATATAATTTCTTTGGATCGATTAGCATTTCTATATAGATAGAATTTCAACGACGATCGATCAAGGTATCGAGCTAATCGCGAACGTGGACGTTAACGTGCTATTGCTCACGCTTTTCCTTATCTTGAATGGATCTTGAAGCGAGGGAGCAGTTTGACTAAACTTTTTTTTCTCGTCGAGGCCTAGCCGTTTCTTCAACGCCTCGCAAACCCGACGTTTAATCACGAACAGAATAAATATCAACAATCCTTGGAGACAATTGAATACGTCCGTCATGTAGAAAAATTCCTGCTCGTACACGAAGAAGGTGTACCTTCGTATCATTGACGAGATCATCTCTGTTATCCAGGGTATACCCATCACGATGAACAGCTTCACGTTCATGATGAATCTGGATTTCACAATCGCGTATGTTTCTAATTTTACTAATAATATTATTTTAATAATAATTTTAATTAGAATTATTTTAATAATAAATTAAGGTAAAGCGAGAACGAAGAAGTTAATATAATATAATTTGGGGATATAAAGTAATATTATAGCGATATTCGAAAAATTTCGATAAAAATGCATCGTATCTCAATTCGAAACTCACTTAGACTTGTTGGAGAGAAATTGTTTGTTCCTTGGATCTGACGAGTCCATGGTAACCTTCTTTATCTCTGCTTTCACCATGCTGTACTGTTTTGCCGTCAGGATGAAGAACACTATGTTTATTATCAGCTGGATCATGACCACACTTCTGAAGTAAAGAATCTCCCCGTGTCTTACTAAATTTGCTGTTAACAATAAAAATATTGTTGATAATAATAACGTTACGTGAATTTTTAAACCGATTTTAAAAATGTCCCGCGATATAAACGCGATGAATATTTACAGAGATCGAACAATCGATATCGTGGCTCGACAATAGAAAAGGGGAAGGAGGAACAAGGATTTAGGTCGACCTTTTACAAGAATATCCACGCCAATCAGTCTCAAACAGGCAGTGTACATGTGTGTACATGACGGTTCGACGTCGAGACTGGCAAAGCTAGTTTCAGCTCATCGTTATTGGAATTCGACGAGGGTACGTTGTGCACAAGGAAAAAGTTGTAAAAATTGCGTTAAAAAATCGAGTACGAGTGAATATATAAATTTCGCGAAGAAAAAGTGAAGAAGAATATATATATATATATAAAAGAAAAATAACAACGATTTATAACAAAAGTTAAAAAACTAATCATTTGAATTATTTATTTATATTTCTCGTTCGAGTAATAAATAGATCGGAATTAATAAAAATAACGTAGAAAGATTTATACCGTTCAATAAGGAATATATGCTTGTATAAAGATCAAGTAAGGATAAAAAATATGATTGATTTTTTTCTAACAATAAATAAAAAAAATTGGGAATGATTCAAAATACACGATATACGTATTAATTTACAATATTAATTGTAAAAATTTTTCCATTATTTTGCTTATCAATTTATATTCGTATAAATAGTATTGTAAATTAATATATATATATATATATTTGAAATTAAAAAATTTATAAACGATTATTGCACCAAACTATTAATAATATATCATTCTTGAACGGATTCTACGAACAATTATATTGATAAAAATCTTAAATTATTGAAGCAATATATTCTCGGAATTGCCAATCATCCTCGGAAATAAAACCGATAATTTACTCAAGATGCTATCTCAGTTTCAAAGGAATCGTTAGGAAATACCTATACCGTCCAATTTCGATAAAACTTGGATTATTTGATCGATTGACATCGTAGCCAAGTCGCCAAGTCGAGCAGGAAAACGCGAAAGTTTTATTAAAAATTGAGAGGAATTTGTATGCACTTGTTCCTTCTAACTGGATGATTTTTAAATTATCGCTTGGAAAATTTCTTTAATTATTGATCAACGAGAAAGAATCAATGGAAAAAGAGGGAAGCTAAACTGTATACAGGATCGATTAAATTTCGATATACGAATTTGAAATAATTTTTCGCGCAAATATAAATATTTAGAATTTTTACTTTTATAATTGCTCGAGTTAATCATTTTCAATGTCGATGACTTACTTTCGAACCAACAATTTTGCTTGTTAAAATGAGGGCGAAGATTCTCTGGCAGGATATGAACGTAATCGTCCAGAAATGCAAAGGCCGTGATAAATATTGGCAGACCCCACGCGTATAGACAATACGATAGAAACCTCTTGCCGTGTTTTCGTGGTCTGGTGAGATTACCCTGCAACCTCCTGGAAAAAAGAATATCGATTTTTATTTAAAAATATCTACGTTTGAAATGTTCGACATGGCCATTTTTCTTTTTCTTCGACGAATAGAATATTTTCTTCCAATTTTTTATACAAAGAAATAATAAGGGTTTTCGATATCAGCAAAGTATTGAATTTAATCTCACTATATTTTTATATAAATTAGTCAACAAATTAAAATTTAAATCGACGAACACGCTAAATAAATTGCATAATAAACTAAAATTGGCGACAAGAGCAGTAAGCGTTTGAATAGATAATAGTCAGAAACGAGTTCCATTGTGTAAGAAGATGAATATTAAATCCGTAATTATTACTATAATCCATGAATGTCTCTGAAATCTTAATGTATCGCGAGAAATTTTAAAATATTAAAGATTCACAACATTAACAAGACATTATCAAATTCTATATCAAACTCAGCTCTACTTAATTTAATTAAAAAAAACGCGAGGATTTAAAAATGTCATCTAGAAGATTTCTAATTTCAAATATCGATACAATAAACAGAACAGAGATCAACGCTTTATTATTATTTTCTTTTTTTAAACAAATCACACATTAGTTTGAAAACTAATGGACGCGTTAAATCTACAAAATTTGATTGACCAACGCGTAAACGAATCGAAATAATAATATTTCGTTTCCATATTGATACATTGGATGCCGAGGGGATCGAAGAATTTTTGGCATGAGACGAAACAGATGCGAAATGTAATTGTCGATTTATGACTCCTTTCAGTTAAATCGAATTGTTATGGTTCTTGGAATCGCGAACGTAGTGAATAAATGATTCTTACTTATCGTTATCCATTTATAAATGTGCCTTATCTTACATATCTCTTCGTGATTATTAAAAGAATTGATCGATAATTATTTTGAAAGGAATAAATTGTAATCAAACTTTCGGATTATTTTTATTATCTTTAAGAATTTAAACTGGAACTGAAATTTCGTTTTTATCCAAAATAAATTCCTTCCGATCGATGGCATTCGTAAAAAAGAAAAAAAAAAAAATTAAGTCGATTCACTAACACGAGAAATTCGCCCGACAAACAAAGAGTTATAGATGACGTGGCCATTGATCGGGATAAAGAAAGAGAATGAGAACATTATGAATGGAAGTTAGCAATTTTCGGGGAAACGTGGATGAAATAATTCGGCAAACGAGAAAAGCGGATGGTGCGAGGACAACGATTCTCAATTCACGTAGATCTATTTTCTCCGGTATATTTGTAAATCTAATGGCTAAGAAACACAAACTTCCTGCAGTCTGTTGAGATGAGAGATTATATTCGCGAGAACGTTCTCAGGAAACAATTGAAAGATTTATTTTATAAGAAATTATCCGATCGAAACTTCTTGAAAGTATTAACGTAATTAAAATTTTGCAAAGATAATTCTTCAGTTCGATCGAGAAGCGTTAAAAGAGGAAGACGCGAAAAGAAAAAGGAAAAAAATTACCGTTCAATCTGAAATTGGATCGTTTCTTAAGTTTCAGAAGTTTATTAGTATTTTTTTTAACGATGAATGCGAATTATTAAAAATTAATAAAAATTAATCGAATTAATAGGCTTTCTCTAAGGATAACGAAGAATTAATAATTAATGGATATAAATTTTTTTTTCTTTAATCAATAAAATAACACAAATCATTTTTCGATCATTTTTAGATCAAGAATCGAGAAAATGGAAAGAAAGGAAAATAAGCTAGATTAATTCGAAGATCGACGATTAAACCGGAGCAATCTCGCAATTTCACGCCGCTTCGTACCGCATAATATCTCTGAACATTTCGCGAAGCGACAGCGCGGAATTAAATCAGTGGCTCGACGTTCGCCATTCGATCGAGAATTATAGCCGAGGGAGAGAGCCAAAAAGATATCTGTTTAGACGGAAAGAGATAGAGGATGAAGAGACGAAAAAGAAGAGATAAGAGTAAATTACGAATAAAAAAAAAATAAAAATAATTAAGAAAATAATGATAAAATATCGCGAAAAAATGATAACGAGAATTGCGTAGGCAATGAAAAATAACTTTATTGTACGATATTTAGTCTACGCTATATACGATACTATAAATCACATTATGAAAAGAAAAGAAAAAAAGAAAAGACGAATAAAAGTTGATTTGATTAGCCCACTAATATTGAGAAATTTATTCCAGTTACAAAATTTCATGTGAAATATCACGTGAACGACACTTTATCGTAATTTTAACAGGGGACAACGTAATTTGTAAATGAAATCTCGGTAAACATATTAGCGTGACGCGGATGGAAGGTAGACTGAATTATTGTTGTTCCATTGTTGGCGAACGTGACGATACTAGGGAATTAGTAACCGGAGAACAAAATGATATTCCTCAAATTACAGCCAAGATAGACTGGATCGGATAATTCCATCACTGTGAAACGATGTTTATCGACCGAGTTAGCGCACGGTGATTTTATCGATCGATCGTTCGATGATGGAGCAAAACTCGTTGTGGTGTGAGAATGGAAAGAGTGTGTTGTGCGTTGGTATTATTGGGTTTTATAAAATAGAGAAAAATTGGAAAAAAAAAAAAAAATAGAATCTTCTTATTTGTATAGATATTTTTATAAAATTGATTTACGTGAAAATTTAATCAAATTTGAAAGAAGGGAAGAGAAAAAATAGGGGAAAATGTGAGAAGTTAGTCGAAACAACGTGTATAAAGATAGCTAGTAACATCTTACCCGAATGTTCGCCATATATCGAAGCACATGACGTTCAACCAGGAAAAAGCTGACAGGAAGGAGAAGAACAACAAGATTCCTGAAAATGAAGATAAATGATTCCTTATAATAGTTGTATATTTCATTAGTTGTATATTTTTGTATATTTTTTCTGTTGTCAATTAGCGATGTAGTTCCTTAAATATTTTTTTTAGTAACACAGTTTCGAACATTTATTTGCATTTTCTTTCGTCTTATCGAGTTTTATCCTTTTATCGAATTAATTAATTAAGTATACAAGTTTCGTATCGATGTAAATTTTAATATCGTATCTACGTTTTATCTTTATTTTTTTCGAATAAAACATTTTAAACGAGTTTTTTCAAAATGTGTAAAAATTTCAGATTCGAATTGTGAACGTTACGATGAATAGATACAATAGATGAGCTTTGATATTTACGGTGACATGTAATAGTTTTATTGTTTGTTTGTTCTTTTCGTTCGTTATTGTTTTTTTTTTTTTTCATTTTTACGTCATCGATGTTTTTAATATGATTTCTATTTTTAGCTCTCGATTTCCCAATTTTATTCGATAGAGCATGGATGATATGGAAATTTTCAAACTTTCGTTTTTGTTTAAAATTGATATTACCGTGAAAAAGTGATTCAAATTCACTTTTTCAAAGAGAAGAGATAATTATTAGAAAATTAGATTTTTTTTATTTCTCTACAATTTTCTTAGATTAAAAAATTTCATTATTTTTCTCGTAACCGCTCTCTCGAACACATTAAATATTCAAATTCTTCCGTGACTTCGAAGACATTTACATTGCTTTCTTAACCGTAAGTTTTATAATTTTCACTTTCAGTTTTGAAATTGAGATTAAATATAGAATTTTCTATTTATTTGTTATTCTATTTGACGTGAAAAATATATTCTTAAAAATCTCATTTGTAACGAAGATAATTATTTATTTATAATCGAGAAATTCGAAATATTATCGCGAAAAAAACGAATATATTAAAGGAAAAATACAAATTTAACGCAACTTCTCGTTCAATATCGAGTCAAAGTGATATTTTCAAAGGTGACTAAAGGAATTACACGGAACACTAGAATTCTGAAAATAACCCATGAAAATATCCAAGCATGATTGCATACAGGCCGATCGAATGCGTTGTATATTTATGAAATATGTACAAACCATTTTTACGTGAAATTAATAATTAAATTTTATCATCAACACTTATTTTGTTTAAAATAATAAACGATATGATTTCTTCCACACACGAGACAGATATTTCTTCGATAATCTGTTTGATAATTTTAAAATATCATTCTATTCTTATGCATATTCAACTTTTCCAAGTTGAACATTGCGCACCTTTAACTGTTATCTAACTGTATTTTAATTTGATTTAAGAAACAAATATATTATAAATCAGTAGTACCTATACAACAGAGTACATAACTCTGTTCAATATCCTTCAGCCAAGGCGATATAGAAATGCAAAAATATCCCACCATAAGACTAGCCACGTGGGACATTAGAGTTTTTCCATGCAGATTTTGAAGTACAGGCAGGCAAGCGTAAACGGTCAGAGTTAATAGTAAGCAAATGAAACTGATGCTTCCCAAGGTAGTGATAACTATAATCCTGAAAAAAGAAAACGAAGAATATTATATAATCCTACAAATCGTCGTGTGAAATTTTTATTCTTTGATATTATTTCTCGTATTTATCCATAATATAATTAAAATATTCATAAAGAATCTATTAAGAGATCTTTAAAGAATTTATAATAATCGAACTGTAGCAGAGATATATATATAAAACAATAACAAAAATATATATAATAACAGCATATTAATTAATTGCGAAATATTTTGACCAAATGTATCACATAAAATACATTAAATAAAATTAAAATAACGATTTAAGGGAAGGTGCCATTTTATACCGAAGAGCCGCAATCTCTTCCAATAGACGAACCCCTTTATTAATTCGCATCAGAATCCAATTATCGCGAGAATCTCACCGACTCGTTCTCACAACAAACTCACAATTTCGATTACAATTCGAGCGTACGTAATTCGTTAATTGGGACAGCTCATCTTCAGTTCGCGCCTTCTTGCAACTCTCTTCTTGCAAATCTACGAGGCAATGAATGTGAATGGAAAAAAACCGATTCGAAAGAGAGAGAAAGTAAAATCTCTTTGATAAAACGAATCGTCCGAACCCTTCTCGAAGGAGATGAAAATTTATCCCGCGGTTGCTTAAAGTAAGAGGAACATGGATACAAAGGAAATCACGCGCAAGTATCCACGTTATCACGGTCTAAGAATATAAATCGACTCATTCCGGCTCTACTTTCGCCCTCCATCTCGCTGTTAACAGGCTCGTTAACATTGGTTGATCTTTATTTATGCTTGAATTAAGGAAATTCCACAGCTCGCGAAATCTGTCTAAACGAGCGGATCGATTTGACTTTTAATTTTAATTTTAATTTTTGGGGGAATTTTGAAGCGGTTCCCGTTTTTTACAACAAACTTTGTGCTTTCTTAATTATTACGTACAAATTGAAAAATTTTATTCATCAAGATCTCTTATTCAGAAAATTCTTAGAAGAATGAATTTACCGAGAAAAGTATATATAATTGTTTAATTCTTCGAAAACTTTCAATTATTATGTTTTTGAACGTTGAACCGTTAGATTGAGTTTAAACGCTCTTACAAGAATTATAAAACTTGTGCAAAATGTTGGACCTTTTCTTTTGCACCATGTTGTATAATAAACGGTGAAATAAAATATATAGCGTAGTTAGTATTCGCGATTAGTCGCGATTAACAAGAGCGTAACTTTTACATGAAAGTAATTGCCGGGAAAATCCGCGAATAGCCTATGACGAGTCGCGGGAAAAGTTACAATTTTTTTTTTTTTTTCCTTCCACTCCCGCAAGGAAACGACATTTTTACCATGCGAGTACCAAAGTTGTTTCTCTATGTGCATATCCAAAGAACGGAAAAAAATGTCAGAAGGAAATGTCAGAACGGATGCAAAATATCACGTGAAAATAGGAAACTTTTGCAAACAAACTGGATGTTGAGTTAAAAATTTTTTTTTTAAATTTATTAAGAGATACGTGCTTTTTTCGAATTCGAAAATCCAACATTTTTACCGCCATTTTTTTTTTTTTATCATTACGTACAAATCCCAAAAATATCGCTTTTAAAAAAAGATGATTTTCTCGCATTTCTTGAAAATGTAACGTTTTCGAATCGAAGTTGCTCTGCCATTTTTTACCATTTTTCACCAACAGATCTCAAAAATGTCGTGAATCGCTTTGGGAAAGGAAAAAATTCACGATCAAGCCACGAAGCTTCGCGGAAACGTTGATGGACAATGCTCGAATAGATCATGGATAAATAGCGAAAGGATAAAAACAAAAAAAGAAAAGAAGGAAAGAGATACACACACGTGTATTATAGGCGTACAGAGGAACGAACACGAACGTATAGCCACTTCGTTACGACTTGTCTCGGTGAATGGCCCTTCTTTCTATTCATCAGGCAAATGGACTTGTACCATTGTTATTTATTCTTCTGCTTGAAGATATACGAGCGTACACATTGTCCACATCACTGGCAAACAGCTTGGCTATCTGGCATTGATGCGGGCACAATACACGCTCCCGCGAAAGATGGCGGGTTTGAACGGTTTGACCAGCATCGGTCAACGCACAGTCCAATCTTTCATATCTATATAGTTTTTGAAATAATTCTCCCCCAATGACAACAAGGATTCGTAATTTCGAATCATTCCGATAACAAACTTAAAATAATCGCTAACGAGAGACTTGGAATCGGAAGATAATTTAGAAAGAAATTACAAGAATTTGTGTTAATTGGAGTGGTGATTTTCATCTTATTATTGAAATTTTATAGCAATCGAAAATATATTTTTTTTAATTTTTGTTTAAAAATCGATACTGAGGAAAACAGAGAGGAATGGGCGCGAAAGTTTCGAAGTTAACTTCGATTCGTTTTCGCGAATCTCGACTGGCTTTATTTGTTTAAACTTTGCGAAATTAAACAAACGGATTCGTAGCAACAAAAAACACGGTTTAAAAGTTTCAACCGCGTCACGAATCGATGCGGACAAAAGAGGCGGGAAAGCGGCGGATTTTGAATTCGCGCGCGAATCTTTCTTTGGATCAAAATTCGACAATCGTACGATTTACAATTTTATATATATATATATATATTATATCCCATAGAAAGAAATTCAAAAGAAATTCGTATATCTTTAATTGTACTATGTAGAGTAATATTTTGGAAGAATTTTGTTAAGCATACTCGAATATTTTTATCGTAAACTGCGCTGCGATGATTGTTCACGAGTCGAAAGATAGAGGTTAATGTTGGAGATGATGTTTAATCTCTTGCGTCGCGTATATTCCAGCGTATATTCCAGTAGAAGTTAATGGAATGCGAAACGCTTACGAAGCTTAGCAAGGAATAAATAAATAATAAAAGATAAAACACGTGAGTAGAGAAAGGAACGATTGCACTTTATATTTTGTAACGACTTGCACCTATTTTAACCGTGCGTAAATTACAGAAAATAAGAATAAAAGGAATAACTTTATCGGAATGAAAATTTTTTTCGAAACGAAAAAAAGAAAGGCGGACGGAATGGGTAAATAAAGTAGCATTAACCCTGTTTTTTTCCCCCTCTCGCCTATATAGGATGGTTTCACATCACCGGTTATTTCACTGCGTGCTAATCGAGTAGCTGCTTTTTTTTTCTTTTTCCTTTCATTTTTTTCCACTTCGCCAGCGATTTTACCAACCGGGGCTTAATTTATGTAATAACCGCGTTTAATTTATCGTGTAAAGAAGTAACTATACACGGAGACGTTTATCTTGAATTTCATATTTTTTTTTTTCAACAAATATATTAGCAGAAATAAACAAGCATTTAAATCTTTTTCATTTTGATTTGATATTTTCTGATCCGTATCTATCGTGAGACAGTTTAACAGATATTTTTACTACTTCGTTATGAGGCTTGTAGAAAAATTGAATCAACAAATATATCAAATGAATAATATCAAATGAGTCGAATCTGTATGTAATTTACTATATAATACGATAGAGTGCAATAACGTAAAACGAAACATCTCTCACCTGATGTTGTCTTGCAATGTTGTGTCGGGGAAGCAGATGAAGGCGTACAATTTTTCCTCATAATTGTCCTGTTGTCTGGAGATCACATCCAAACAGTAAATGTCTTGCGGCAAGTATAACTTGTCTGGCAATAGCTTCAACTCTCCTTCCGATGTCACTCCAAACAGGTTCTCCATGGGTTCGAGGTAGAATTCCGAACACTTAATCATTTTAAACATCACCCCGTATTCTTCGAGAAGAGGAGAAACAAACAAGAAAAAAGATATATAAATGCGCGAATAATAAAGGATGAAACGAAGAAGGAGAAAGTGGAAAATCGTGGTTTCTTTTCACGCGTTCCACGAGAAATCAAACATAACCTATCATATACCTGTGATATTTCGAGGTGTTCCAGTGATATTCGAAATCTCGTCGTAGAAATTCAACTCGTGTTTTTTATTCATTTCGCATAACGATTTAGTGCTCCCATGTTTGCAACACTTTTTCACACAGTTGTCTCCCCGGCACACGTGTTCGTCTCTACAGACACGAACAGCTATGCGCCGTCTCGACCGGAAATCCGGCGTTACCTCGAGACACGAGTTCCTCCCTGTGATTGTGAAACTCTCCATGATTTGGTTTTTCCACACGTTCACCTGGAAAATTACACGGAAATGCTTCGCATAGTCTGCGTAGAACTGCGAGAAGATTTACCGACCGAGCAAGCGGACCATCGGGTATACATTCCTGAAGCGCGGCAAATTCGAAACACTATGAAAATTGTTTCGACGTTCGCGCAAGAGGAAACTGGGTCCGGATGCTTGGTTGGAATATTCTTCGAAATATCTTCCTTGGATCCATGGATGGTGGCTTTTTCATGGTATGAAGAGGGATGGAAAGAAAAACGTTTCAGGAATTCTTGTAACGATATTACTGAGAATTTCTACATAAATGAATTGTAGCTGCGTCTCTTTTCGAGATTTAATGTAATTGTATTGTGTGCAGAAATTTGTTGGCATTTTGTTTATGACAGATCGTTAAATTAATTGAATTTAAGTGAATTTAATTTAGAATTTTCGAATTTAATTTTCTTCGCGATTCAATTACAATTTTTCCAAATTTATTTTCTCTCCTCTCTTTTCGAGTTTAATTTTAAAAAAACGTTATTCCATTAAAAAATTATTTTAAGGAATGCTCGAATATTTCGAGAATTGTGAAACATAATTTAATCACGATCTCTTAAAACTTATCCAGACGTATAGCATGTGAAACGAGCTACAATTGAACAAATAGGTATCAGACAGAGAAAGAATTAATCGCAAGCATCGAAAAGATAAAGACCACCAAGTGATTGAAAAAAGAAACAGATGTCACGAATCGTAAACATGTAACGGAAATCATGGAAGGATGGAAAGATTCAAGCATGATTTACGAGGCTATTCTCGCGCCACATGACGAATGTGGTAATCCCGGTGTCATTTTCACCGAGCGCCAGACCTTTCTCTCTCTTTCTCTCTTCTCCTTCCCCTCCTCCCTTTTTCCCCGCCCTCCGCGTAACACAAAAATCTTATTTCCGCTCGTTATCTCGTTTTCAATAGACGACATCCCCGGCATCCCCCGATCGTTCACCTTTCGAAATAATGACATAGAAAACGAGATACGATGTCGTGTCGACGAGACGTTGTGTAATAGAGGTGTCGAACTTTTAAAAAAGCGAAAGAAATTTCATGGTCACTTCCTCCATTTATGAGGAATGATCGTTCCCTTTGACGCTACATCTTTACGATAAATTTTGCTCCTTTCCTTCGGGCAAGTAGTCGAAAAGTCGATGGAATTCTTGTCGAAATATTTTAAATAGAGCAAGCTCGAATTAATTCGATATTCTTTTCCAATTTTTTTTTTTATTTATTATGATAATTATTTTTGCAATTGTATGCACGAAGAGTAAAATATTTAATTAGATTCTTCGTTCTTTTTTACACCTGTAAATTTCATTGCTATATTCCCATGAAATTTAATACAATCTCTTTCTTCATCAACTCCAAAAAACTTAAACTTCCAAAAAATTATGATTTCCAACATTAGAATTTTTTTTCTCTTCTCCTTAATAACTCCTCGACCCGAAAATTCGAGAATCGAAATTCCGTTTCCATCCCTCTTAAACGGGCGGGAACAAAAAAAAAAATTAATCAAAATTCAAATAAGAAGAAAAAAAAAAAAGAAGAAAAAGAAAATCTCGCTGAGAGGGAAACGGTAGGCATCGAGTGTGCAAGGACACGCTCGATTGGAATCAGAGGCCGTGTTCTATCCGTCCGCAATGCGGTCCTTGGTTTCACCGGCGGCGCATCGTTGCTACGCCATTGCACACCGATGTCCCACCACGCCCCGTAGATTCCCAACCGATGAGCCGAATTTATTTACCACGTCGTTCGCTTTCGACAGACGATAGGATGGGAAGGGAGAGGAGACCAATCCGCGCCGCTGCGTGCAACAAGAGGATCGCCGATATTTATTGCCTATGATGAAAAAAAGAATTCGCACGAGGCGTCGTGATGAATTTCGATTGCATTCGAAGGGGCGAGGCAATCGATCGATTTAAGAGGTGTAATATCGTTAAGTTTTTTATTGGATTCGAAGCGGTGCAAGAGCGTGATTTCGAGCGGATTGAATAGAGGATTGAAAATTTGGTGGAGGGGGATAATTAGAATGGGTTAGTCCCGCGAGCAGTCCTTGCTTTTCCAATTTATAAACGTTGGAATGCATTGGTTGGACGGTTTCCCGCGCGGGAAATTTGAAACGAGGATGGATTATTTTTCGACGTGGCGCAAGAGCGGGATAAATGAAGAGAACACTTCGAATGTTCGATAGAGGGATAATTAAGTGTAATTAGAGTCAGTTAAAACCTCTTGTTGTTCGATCGGGGTTTTGGAAATTTTCCGGATTGAATGATTTCGCGCGTAGTAGGAGAGTTGAATGAGGATTTGTGCACCGAATTATTGGATTCGATGTGATGCAGGAGGCGAGATTTCGAGTGAGAAATTGTGAAATAAAGGATGATGTTTTGAATGTTTGATAGAGGTAATAATTGGAGATTAGAGTTAGAGCTAGAGTTAAAAGCTCTGATTCGAGTTTGTAAATGTTGAATAGATTTTGTACAATGTACGGAGATGTGTAGAAAATTGGGCAAGGATCGCTTAATTTTTAATAATTTAATAGTAATGTGTGTTTCGAGGAAGGAATTATGGATTAAAAAGATGTCTTTTTAAAAATAAAGATTTGCAACAAAGCGTTTAAAAGTAGCTGAGGTTATTAGCTATAGCGTTGAATAGTTTTGTGCAGTATATATATATATATATATATAGGGATATGCGAAAGTTATGGATGAAAGAGGTTATGCAAAGGGTTGCCTTGGGATAAAGGTTCGATAGGAAAGGGTAAACATTTTGAGGTGAACGTTGGGTAATGCTTTGTTGGTGTTACGTGTTTGACTAGTTTATTAGTTGTAATTTTATTGATAATTTCTGACGAACGAACAATGTACAACAATATGTTGATTTTAACTTTAAATTTGCGTTCATGGAAAAGTAACGTGCTTGTTCGATGAAACAAATATTGGATTGAATTTGAGTTTCGTTGATTTTAATTTAATTTCTTAACATTTTCTAATCGCTAGAATTGACAAAGAAACACACATACCGATTTCAAATACGAAATTTAAGAAATAGCCCGCGGAAAATTAAATAAAGTTACGTAAGAATAAGATCCTTTGAGATCCTTGTCCTCGTATTGTAATTGAAAATTTCCGTACGCGTTAATTTTCGACGAAACTTATTCGACGAAAAAAGGGGAAAAAGATATTTAAAAATTTAAAATAGTCTAAATTAGAGACATCTGTTAGAGAAAAAGTAAAAATCGTCGATGGAATGGCTATTTAAATTTACGAGATAGAAGGAAGAAGAAAAATCCGTAAAATCTGAAATTTCCACGTGCAAAAATTAGAAAAAACGCGAGATACTTTTACCGGTGCAAAGATTTGTCGGTAAAGATTTTTTCATCAACGATTAAACGAACGAGCGAGAGATAAGCCAACGTTTCACAAACTTCTCCTCGTTGTTTATTTCGGATAGGTAGGAATAGGAACGCAATAGGAGCATGCACCGCGACAAGAACGCGCAAAAATGGCGGCCGGAGTTTTTACAATCCGATCGAGGAGGACGATCAAATATTCTTTTTAGGAACAAGAAAGAATCGTAAATATTGGCCTTGTATAAATCTGTCTCCCTCTGTTTCGAAAACAGAGGGAGAAGAAAAAAAAACGGGCAAAAGTTTGAAAAATCCATATTTTCGCGAGAAAAGGTGGCCAGCACCTCAAACGAGATACGTCGAGAGAAATGTAAACCGTGGTTCTTCTTCTCGTCACGATCGAGAGAATTATCGACGAGAAAGTTAAAGGAGAAGAACCCTCCTTTTTATCAAATTTTCGTGATCCGTCAAGGAGCTTAAAGTTATAGGGCACGAAGCATAAAGTTCAAATATCAAATCCGGCCGCTTTCTGGAAACCATCGAACCATACGCAGCAAAATAGCCGAGCAGGCATGAAGCGAAAAATAAAATTTGCCGGTCTAAAAACGTCGTATAAGATTCTTTGGTTTTGGATCCGTTCGATGACAGACAAGATAATCATCCACGTGATTCTGGTATGTTGGATGAACGTTTGAAGAAAAACCCTCTATAGCTCTTTAATCGAAACGATTCGAAGTAAATAATTTTCCAATATTTTTTTTAATATTCATAATCTCATTGTTTTTTTTTTTTTTTTGTTATTGATTTATTAGGTCGATAGAAACGTTCGACGAGTATAGTATTCGAGTATATTAAGATATACATCATTGGTTTTTTCCAGGTCACTCGTTCATTCATTACGAAATTAAAGTGGAACATTGCGGGATTCGATTCATTCTGTAAAAATTTCCCTTGTTCTGGGAATAAAATTCTGGCTACGTGCCTAATCGCGCCGCTCACCCCATGGCGCGGAACGTGTCGAAGAGGCCGCATCTTTTCGGCTGATTCGCCATTTTGTGCTTGTTTCGCCACGCGGCTTACATACGAAATCTATCGAATCGAGTTACGTATCGATTCCGCGTCCTGATCTTTCGATAAAGAAGAAAAAAAGAAAAGAATGAAAAAAAGTAGAACGACACAATCGATACGTAATGAGATGTAATTAAAAAGTATTTTTCCATCGTGAAAGAGTGATAAATATTGATGATACAAATTACAAATCCATCACGCTGACTACCAGTTATCATCGCTCTGAATCTTCGTAAACGACAAAGATCCTTAAAAAAATTTTGTCCATAGAAGATTAACCGATTACCGATTAAGAGGCAATCGTTCCCAGGATTTTTCCTTTCGAGGAAAAAGAAAAAAAGAAGAAGAAGAAGAAGAAGAAGATACGCAAATCTGCGTTAGATAGCGAATAAAGAGCGAATAGTCACAAGTGGAAAGAAGAAAAAAGAAGAAGAAACGAGAATGCAAGAACGTTGCACGGGGAATAAAAACTCGTTTATTCCGTCCCTGTTATATCGCGTGAAAACAGAGCGGATGATAAACGAACGTTCGAAAAGAAATGAGGGATCACGATGGGATCGGCTGGTCCCGCTCCGCTTCGATCCGAGATTAACGTCGTTTGTTTATTTGTAAAACTAACACGCGCGTGATTTCATAGTTTACGTGCACAGGCGAGATAGATAAACGAGAGAGGCACACTCTCGTACGTATGAATGGAGGAAAGCCGAGCAGATGATCCGAGCGTATGAATAGCCGCGACGACAACCGGTTCTCTCGATCTCTGCCCACTCGTTCGGGAGGAAACGAGACGCGAAAGACGATAGTAGGTCGTGGAATCAATTACTCGATTACCTATGTACGTGCAACGTTTCGAGGCTAAGCTTTGTCCATAAATTGTTGAAGATTGGTAAGATTGGCGAGCAATTAAATTTGCATTCTTTTTTTTTCTTTTTAATCACGATTGAAAATCGTGGGATAAGAATCGTGGGTTTTTTTTTTTTGAAAAGAGCTATTTACGTAGATTAAGGATTCGATAGGAGATGCAATTGAAGCTGGACTCATTTGATATTGCGACTAGGGAAAACAAGATCGTTATTTATACTCGTAATAACGATATCTCTTTTTTATCGATCGAGAAATAATAAATAATTTTCGATAGAAAATATTTAATATCGTTGACGCCGTTTGATAATAGGATAAAAGAGAGCGAGAGGTCATTAATCTTTTTTATTAAAATATATTGTGCATAATAACTTGATAGATGTCTGACATTGAGATAGATTTCGTAGTGTTTTCTTCGATCGTGTTTTAAACGTATGTAAATTTTACGATGATAGAGATTCTCTCTCCTTGGAGAATCACCTTGGCTCGGACGCGAACGTGTTAATCATCGAGATAAGATGTTTGGATAATCGTATAATCGAAGTTTCGTTACACCACATTATTTTATGCGATACAGATGTGACTAATATAAGAATCTCATGCGATCCCACGGACTAATTTAATAGTTTCTCTCTAGTTTTCTGAAGAGTAATTGGATCTCAACCTTTCTCCCCCGTCGCGCTAAATTACGCTAATGCGAGAAGAAATAGAGAAGCAAGGGAATAATAAAACGACACGACGGTGTAAAACTTAGATCTAGCTAATTTTATACGTTTCTTTCTTCCTTCCTCTCCTCCCCACCCCACTCCCCCCTCCCTCCTCCCTCTCCCCTCTTCCCCTTTTTAATACTTAATTTAATTAATTTAATTAAAGAATTGACGAGATACAAAGGTTTTATATAACGCAATTGAGATCAAATCGTTAACAACTTTATTATAATTTCGCGTGTAATATATAATTTTGCCCGTCGTACGTAACAGATGTACGTATGTATGAACGGATATGTATGGTGGAATAATTGATTAGTAATTTTGGATCGTGTCATTCTCATTTACGTAACAGGTTTTATATATATATATGTATAACACGGTTTAAATATAGATTATAGAAAACTATAATTATTGGACTGTGTCCATATTAATACGGAAGTATTAAATTTCTGAAATGCTAAATGAAGATAAACACGCGTGACCATCTTTTGAATTTGAGAAAAGAATAAACGCAGGAATAAATTCGACGAGGAGGGACGTAGAGGGATTCTTTTACTTTTTTCTTTTTTTTTTCAATTTATAAAATGGTACATTCGTAAATTGTAATCGAACGAAAACTTGTCATGCATGGAAAATAAATAAAACGTATCAATGAAGGATAAACAAGAATTTATTAGCATATTCATGAAGATAACGCGAAACAAAAGAATTTCTCACGCGGGAAACAGCAAACGCGAGTGGAAATCTTTCGAACTGTAAATCTTATGTAATCGTAATCGTCAAGTTGTTGGAGTATTAAGGAGGGAAGGGAAGAAAGAACAATCGAAAAAAAATTGAAAAATATTGCGCGATATCGAGAATGTGCGTCATTCCAACGAAAATATTTTCTTTTTCTTTTTCGATAAATATATTCGATATATATATCGTTTTTCCATAAAACGAATTAGTTTTCTCCTCGACTCCACTTTTAGACAGACTTCCATAAATTGTTGTATGCTCTTGTATGGAGAACACGTGATACTCGATGTTTTTCCCTTCGTTTATGTTTCGTTTTTTGGGGAGGAGAGGAAGGGGGGACGTCTAAAAAGGGAAGACAAGCGAAGGATCGTGAAACTCGTTCTCTCATCAATCCTCGAATTGAACGTATACGTGTCTTGATACCGACTTTTCGTGTTTGTTTCTCAAATTATTATACATTTTACAAGGAAGAGAAAAATTTTTAAATTTATTTTTCTCTGCAATAAATATTCTGCTTCGAAATATTTGAATAAAATCGATTTTATTTCGGTGCTATTTTTAATCTATTCTATTTACTTTGTATAGTGTTATTCTTAATTCTAATTTAAATATCTCACATTGATATGTTACTGCATATTTAAATTCTAATAATTGGAAAAATCACTTATAAAAAAAATTAATCGTTAGAAGTACGTTACGAACGATACGATCAAATATTAAACTAACATGACAAATAAGAATGTCCCCCTAAAGACAACGATAATAACTTTATAAATAGAATAAAAGTGAAATAAATAGTAATAGAGAGTAATTAACGAGAACATACGTGTAAATAATAAACGTGTACTCGACGAAAACACGTACTATTATTTGGCCAACCATTGTTAAGATTTATTTCTTTTCTTCGAATAATTTATCTTCCCAAGATCGATCGATAAATTTATTTTTATATTCTCATTGTATTTATCAATCATTCGAAAACAATTTGAATCATTCTACAAATCTAATGGAAAAAATTGTATAGATGAAATAAGGGGAAAGGAATCGAATAAATATGCATGTTATCTAACAAGAGGAAAACTTAACAACAACAAAAAGACAATGCTGAATTTAAGCTTTTCAAATCTTCTAATAATTTTAAAAATTCCTAATTTTAAAAATTGCTGCCACGATCTTCATTAATCTTTTGTAATCAACCGAAAACAATTGAATCTTTCTACAAAATAATACATGTAAAAAAGCCTAATCTAAATCTAAACGTGGAACAATGTTAAATGTAAATTTTGAATTTAAAATTTCAGAAATTTTAAAGATTTCAGAATTTTACCTTTTATGTTTTTAATCTTAATTAAATTTAATTTTTCTGAACAACGTGAAATGAAATAAACGCGCTATTCGTGTTTAAAAAATTAATATATATATATATACACTTCTGATTAAAGCGACGCAACGATCTTTTTTATCTTTTTTTTTACATCCTAGAACATTAACGAAACACGAATCAATTGTGATAAAATTTCACAACAGTTTCTTCCTTTAATTTCTCGCTCTTCGAGAAAATTAAGAATAGAAACTGTGTATGTAAATTGTCTCGTCGAATCTAACCAACGGTTCAGTCACTCATTCGTTTTAACTAGTTACATTTAATTTACCACGAATCGCGCAGCACGAGGAAGATAGGAATTTCTCATTAAAATGGCCAAGTCACGTTTTTTCTTTTTTTCTTTTCTTTTTTTTTTTTTTTTATCGCGTCTAAACGATCTGATTTTCCAAATTGCTCGCAGAGAAGAATTCTTCGAATCGTTCCGTAATTCAACGGAATAAATAAAATAAATCGTAAATAGAGTTTATAACGTGTAATAAATAGAGATATTTGTCGACGATATATAATATATATCGTTTTCATGATTTCCAAAAAAAACTTCTTTCTTAACTTTTTTAACAAATTTTAATCTTATCCGCAAAAATATATCACAGAAGGAGGAAATACTGCGAGTGAATATACAAAAATAATTAGAACGTCTCGTCAACATTTTCATGCAAATAACAACCTCGTTTATCGTGCTCGTTAAAATTCTCGATGCTCGCCTCGGTTAACGAGATCGAATGAAATAAAATATGCTCACCTTTAAAGATTCATCGAGGATGGTGACGTCCGCTGCATCGATTTCATAAGTAAACATAGCGGTCGAGGTTGGGCATTTAAGCAACCGTTTACCGATCGAGACTATGTCTATATTCCGAGAGCGCAGCTCGTCTTTCGGGAATAACGTTAAAAAATCATCTTCGTTCATAGACGATTCGCAGGTCCCTCTGGTTAAGTTAAAAACCTGGTTGTTCGAGCAGCATCTAGTAATATTTAAGAATCGCGGTTTTGGCAAGAATTCGGAAGAAAGTTGCCCCATCTTGTTTCTGTCCTCGTTCGATTCACAGTGCACGAGTATCGGTACGTTCAGAGGTGTGGATTGTTCGTGCAGAATTTCGATACAGAACGGCTTCTGTGAATAACG